GGGGTAGAAATGGAAGAAAATTTTCTATTTATGGAAAAAGGACCACTGAATAAATGATGAGTCTGGAGCATATTAAATTTTTTCATGTCAGGGGTATTCAGATTTTATGTTTCCAAATCTACTATCAATGTGAATACTCCCAACACACACACATATATATATGTATGTGTGTACGTATGTGTGTGTTGGAGATATTCACATTGATAATAGATTCAGAAACATAAAATTTGAATATTTCAAGCCTTTGGGAGAGGTTTAAAGTCTTAATCCTGGACCCGTTCCGAATCGGATTAGTTGCGAAGCAATGAACCGATTGGAATATCTTAAAAAAAAAAAAACATAAAATTTGAATATCTATAAATATATCTCAGAATTATGAGAGAAAGAGTGCAAAACATAAAAAATTAGGGTAAAGGAAATCCTGTCTCTCAATTATAGTATAGAGTATGTTATCATATTATTGAATAATTTCAAAGACAGGATCAAAGTCACATGATGATACGCATAGCTTTTAAGCAATACATTAAGAATGAAGGTTAACCAACACACATTTCTCATGAGCTTGTTTATTCATTGTTGACTGGATAATTTATTTCCTCCACAAACCAATCCATTATAAAACCTAGAAAACCGACCTTTTTTTCCCTTGTTCTTCTTTTTCATCCTCTGTCGGGTCAACTTCATGTTCCCCGTGCTCTGGAACAAAAATTCAACAAAGCTGGTTACCATGGAAGAACCTTTGATAGCACTTTCGAGTGAACATAGTTCCTCTGGATCATGGAATTGGGTGATGATAGGCTTTGGTCCACCAAGATATGGCCATTCCATCATATGTCTCTCAATTGTGTAAGCAAGTGAGACCAATTCATGGGAATCATATAACGGGCTTCCACAATCCCATGTGAGAAAAGCTGATCCTGCTTCTTTCCCACTCCCAAATTCCATAGAAGATGTTCCCATCAGTGCTTGATTTTCAGTTGGTGTCAAACACTGGTCTGAGGAGGCTTTGCCTCACAGATTAACCTCCATGCCCTCAAAGTCTTCCACTTTTATATTATGGTATCAAAGCTCCTCTTGGCAACAAATTAAAATGCCATGCATATTTTGGAAATTCAAATATATGAAATTCCCATCATAGTATGTGTATGATGAGGAGGTTAGAATTAATTGTGAATTAGTTATGATTATCTTTTTTGGTGTCAGAAATATGTATGTTTTTTTTTTTTTTTGAATAAAGAAATATGTATCTTTTCAGCAGAGAGAAAGTGTGTCTTTTTACTCTGAATATGCTTATATTTTATTATAAAATAGTATATTATGATTATTATTTTTCTCTATTCTATTTAATTCTATCCACACCTATTACCAGAAAGAAAAAGAAAAAGAAAGTTAAAAATTATAAACTAACTGTATGTATATAAATAAATAAAATAATTATAAAAAAATGTAAGCACAATATTTTATTTTGAGTAAACACCCTTTTTGGTCCCTGACAATATCTACGAAATTTTTTTTAATCCCTGACAATAAAAAAAGACCAAATTGGTCCCTAACAGTATGTAAAAAAGGTCACGTTAGTGACGGAAGAGTTGACTTAAGGACTGACGTGGCCCTTTTTTTATAATTTTAGGGACTAATTTGGTCTTTTTTTATTGTCAGAAACTAAAAATGATTTCGTAGATATTGTCAGGACCAAAAAGAATGTTTACCCTTTTTATTTTTCATATTTTTTAGCGAAGAGGTGTGTCCTTTGAAATCTCATTAATACTCTATGAATGAAGATGTCCAAAAAATTATCTTCTCTCCTCTCTTTTGTTTGGCATTTAAGTTTGATATATTTTACAACGCGGTTATTTCCTTACATGTAAACTTAGACATCTGTACATGCATTCATTGAATTTAATTGTGCACTTTTTGTTGAGATAAACTTATAAACACGTGTTTATTCCATCATTATTCTGCTATCATTTTTCCAATTGATGATCCTTAGACATCATCTGACAGGATTTCTGTACAAAGAATCGGGTCAGGTTTAGTCCAATAAAATGAAAAATTCACTGATTTAAAATTTGGATACAATAAGCAAAATAATCTCAAATTTGGATATTTTTTCAACCCAAAATGCAGTTAGCACTAGTTTAAGAAGGATTCTTGATTAGTAATCTCAAATTTCATTTTATTTGAGAAAAGCATCTGCATATTAAATAGATATTTTTTCATTATTATTATTGATTTTTATTTTTTTGTGTATGAAAAAATCCTCGTAATTTTTTTGGGAAAGGATATATTTATCATCAAAACAATTTACCACTCTTACAATCAATTTAACTACTGTTGATTTCTGTCAATCTAACGGTTATAATTTATTGAGAATTATTGAGTCGCACTTATTAATTAATTATTAATTTTCAATAAATCCAAGAAATTATAATTATTAGATTGATGAAAATCAACAGTAATTAAATTAATTTAAAGGTGATAAATATATTTAGTGATAAGTATATCTGACTCAATTACTTTTACCTAAATTCTCTCAAACATATTCAGGTTTTTTATTGGGCTTTTTTTATTTATTTCCCAACCACAAATCTTAGGCCATCGGATTAATTATTAGAAAAAAGGCAAATAAAACAAATATATCGTGCTTTAATAACAGGAAAAGGTGAAATAAAACAAATAAGCTATGTACGATGGCATGATGTGAATATCCAATGATGTGTGATTATAATATTATTAGTACAATAGAAGTTCAAGGAATATCAGGATTCAGGAGAACACTAACGAGATTATTAGTAATGTTTATGAGGTAACATTTCCGTATCCTATATGATACTTTTAGGTGATGTGACCTAAAATATGATTAACTTAGTTACATAATAGTTACAAAATCAAATTATTACGTACAATAATACTTCCCCAATATTCATTAATTTCATTATAGGATTATAAAGAAGTTGCTTTTGTTGATAATGACTCCACCATTTGAGTTGACTGACAGAGAAACAATGATTAAATTGTTTTACCTAAAATATTATCAAAATGTCACGCTCCACATTTTTTTTACCAAAGTGCCACGTCATTAATATTGTTACACCACGTGGTGAGTTAGGATTTGGTTGGCCATGTAATTAGCTGCGCAGCGCAGCTAGATTACGTGGCAAACATTCCCTGCCACCGTCTGCCATGTGGCATAAAGACGTCTTATGTAGCCAAAATTGCTAGACTGCGTAGCTGTTAGGGGTGTCAATATGGGTTGACATGACACGAATTCGACACGACACGAATACATCAACACGAACACGACACGAATTTTCATTCGTGTCAAAATCTTCAACACTGACACGACACGAATTTTTCCGGGTTGACACGACACGAATAACACGCAAAATAGGGGACAAAACGGTAATTGACAAAAAAAATTAAAAAAATAGATCGAAAATAAATAAAAAATAAAAAAATAAAAAAAAATAAAAAAATAAAAAATAAAAATAATACGGGTCGACACGAACACGAATTCATAAACACGAACACGACACTAATTTTTTGCGTGTCATTTTTTCCAACACGAACACGACACGAATTTTTTTACGGATCAACCCGAACACGAATTTTCGTGTCGTGTCGCGGGTCGACCTGCGTGTCAAAACCCATATTGACACCCCTAGTAGCTGTTAACGTGGCGGTTGTTAAAACACTCAACGCATGTCTGACATGTGTTACATTGTGATAAACCCGCTGGGCTGAACAGCTGGTTACGTGCATGTGTGATACGTGTCATTTAATTGAAATTAAATAACATTAATTTAACACTCCTAAATTTAATTACTTAACATTTACAAATAATTTAACTTAACATATTGCTAATTAAAATAAAATAATTAACAATCCAAAAAATAAGTAATTAATAGTTATAACATAAATAATTAATCGTTATGATTAATTTAAATTAATATAGATTAAATTAAACTATTTCAATTAACAAACATAAAATATATTACATTAATTAACAACCTTGATTAAACATATTACATTAATTAACAAACATAACATAAAATATATAACATAAACAACTAATATAGATTAAATTAGTTATTTTAGTTAACACCCCTAAAAATAACTAATTAATTATTCTAAAATAATTAAAATTAATATACACTGAATTAAACTAAAATATTAATAACTAATTGATCATAACGATTAATTATTTATGTTATTACTGTTAATTACTTATTTTTTGGATTGTTAATTATTTTATTTTAATTAGCAATATGTTAAGTTAAATTATTTATAAATGTTAAGTAATTAAATTTAGGAGTGTTAATTAAATTAATGTTAAGTAATTATTTTTGGCCACGTAACCAGTCCAGCTGATTTACCACAATGTGACACGTGTCACACATGCGTTGAGTGTTTCAACAGCCGTCACGTAAATAACTACGCAGTCCAGCAGTTTTGGCCATATAAGACGCCATGTAGCCCAGTGCTTTAGGCCACGTGGCAGACGGTGCCACGTAATCTCGCTGCGCTGCGCAACTAGTTATGTGGCCAACCAGGTGCTGTCGCAACGAGACTGATAACATGGTACTATGATAAAAAAATTCTGAAACATGACGTTCTGATAATATTTTAGGTGAAGAGTGACAATTTGATCGTACTGATAGAAGCCCAGAACCACTACCAGACTTGACCACCACTATCCTCTTTCCTTGTTTCATCAACTTAACTGCTTCGTAGCTCAAGACGCTTTAAGCTTTTTTTGCCCTTCCAGTCATAGCAATTTAGTCTCACTCATGTGAAAACTACACTTATGATGGAGAATCGCCTTGTGTTTTACCATGGGGCCACTTGATTGGTGCATCATTAGTCTTAAATGAGATGATGAGGTCGGCAGAAAGAGGAAACTGTTGTGTGATAAAATAACAGTGCAAACCCAAAGATAACTGAGCAGGGGCTTAAAAGTTGAAAAAAAGCTAGAAAGTTGCACAATGTGGTAAAACTAAGGCACTTTTATATATTGCTATTCCCAAATTATTCTTTGGGTATACATAAAATTTTATGCATTGAAAGCAGTACTGAAATAGTTTTTCACAACATTTTCATTCAAGATTTGCAACACCATGCTGTTTGTAGGACCTACACATCTTGGTGTCTTATACTGACTAACAGCGGTTCCTAATCCTAAGAAATGATCAAGAATCTTCTGAAATGTTCCCTTCCTAACAACTCGGAGTTCGAGGGGCCCAATGCAGTTGACTTTACGAGAACTGGTGTAACCTGCATCAACGAAAGACTTGTCCAAACAGTTGCAGCATTCACCGAGTAGTTCTTGACTTGCTTCCCCACTGATTTCCCAGAAGATGACATAATGCCCCGGTTCTTTGGATAAATCAACATGGCTAGAGAAGTCAACAACTTCCAATTTCTCCTCTGCTAACAATATGGCTGCTGCTTCCACGGCTAACTGTAAATCCTTCTCTGTGTTCTTGTCAATGTTGATGTTAAGCAGAAGACTGCTCCTGCGAACAAACTTGAGTTCTGGAGTTGAGTTATGGAATCCCATAACCTTGACCACATCCCCTAGCCTATACCGGTACAAACCTGCAATTTAGCCAAGAAGTTAATAAGATTAATATCCAGCACTGTCCTATAAAAAAGAAACTTTCGAAATGGATTATGTTGTAACTTTATCAATGCTAATCTGCAAAATTGTGCACATTCAATTCGGATAATACTTCCAGGTTCATCTAGTAGACTCAGGTTAAAATCTTTTATCATTTTGATATTCAGAAAATTTATGACATAACAAGAAAAAAGTTTCACGAAATCAGGAATGTGTCATATGCGTATAAAAAATGCGATGAATCATGAAATGGAAATTAAAAAAGACAAAGCAGATAAGGTCAAGGGAAAATCTAATATAAGCACTTGTAAATCCAACATTAGTTGTCAATAACTAAAGGATAGGTCTAACTTGCAACTTGCAAGACTATGCTTTTGCTACATATTATTTATAATAATCTGATCAGGTGTGATGAACCTTTACAAATCAGCAGGAAGAAATTTCTCTAAGTTGGTCCCATGAAGGTCAAATCACCACCCACTTCATTTCTTTCCTCTCTGTCCCACAATAGTAAAAAAAAAAAAAGTACTTGCCTGTCATTGTTTGATTTCAAGAAGCTCTTTAGCTAAACTTTTTCTGAAGGTTAAATCCCCCGTGCCAATAAACTTCATAATTTAGCCTCTAATTTACCACATAATATATAATTATATTAAAAAAAAAAGGAGAAAAATACGGAGTTTTTTTTGTTACTTTCATTTCATAGTAAACAGTTCAAAATCCTTCCAAACTCATTCAGTAAGAATTAACCCCAGTAATCTTTCCTCTAAAAAGTATTTTACCAAATTTGCACTAACCACTCTTTAAGAGTGCCTCACGGGGACCCCGAGGAAAGAGGAAGGAAAGATTAAATGGGGCCCCATAAGACCGAGCTATAAGCACGTGCAAATATCATAGTTATGTTAATTGCATATACACAATTTTACATGCCTCACATATATTGATGTTAATGTGTTCCTTTAAACCTTATGCCAGCATTAGTAGCTGTGATCCTTAGTCTCGATTCATTAATGCGAAGGGAAAAAAAATATATATATATATATATAAAACGAGACAAAAATTTAGTACCTGCTGGATTGGTCATAACAATTTCATACTCTTCACCAACCTTCACTTCAGTGAGACCAACTGGCTGAGGATCAACAGAGAGGAAAGTAGGGTTCTCAAGCTCTTTAAGAGGAAGAAATTCAAAGTAACCGATCTGAGGAAGAACAGCATAAGTGGCCAATTCAGGGGGAATTTTTGGGTTGACATTTGCTGCTATCCATCCTTCAGAAGATCCATAATCAGCAGTTAACAAAGGTAGCTCCCCTGCATAGTGCCTCAGTTTTTTCAAATAAGGCTCCATTGACCCAGTCATTATGCCATAAACATACTTAGCATTTGGAAAAATCTCTGGTATCAACCCATACCAGTTACTCAATCCCATGCATTTTCTGTAGATAAGGTTGGCCAATTCTGGGTTTGGTTGGAGCAGTTTGGACATGGCCATTCGAATGGATGGAACAGTGACTCTGCTAGTAAGAACCCCTTCTCTGATATCATTACAGAGATCTTCCCACACTTGTTCAAAGGTTCTAAAAGCATGGACAATGCTATGCGCAAAAGTAGAAGACACCAACTGAACTTCCTCACGGAAAATCAGCCCACACAGTAGATGGCAGTATAATGATTGGTAAAAATCAGGACCAAAAATCACTTCATCTGGGCTGCAGCATTGAGATTGGAGTGCGTTCATTCCACATTTGTAACGTGCGTTACAGAACAAATTGCTTGTAGCAGTTCTAGCTGCGAGACCCCCTTTTGTTTTGAACTGTTTGCTGCCGTATATAAAGCTTAAAGTCTTCCCATTTTTTATAGGAAACTCTCTGCAGAATGGAATTGTGTCAGAGTCTCAAAGTCCAACTAGCAGAAAAGCATTATGCAAAGATGACATAATAAATGAAAATTAAGATTCAACCAAAAAATTTACAACCAAAAAAAAAGGAGGGGGGGGGGGGGGGTGGGTTAATAAATGAAGTGAAATACCTGTTCCTAAATGCAAAAGAGGTCTGATATATCTGCATTGTGGTTTCAAACAATTCATCATTCCATGGTACATACTTTGGCTTCCCCTGGGTTGTGCCAGAACTGCAAGAATATCACTCTGTGATTCAGAAACTTCTCAAGTGCAATTGATCCAATTCGACGACTAAGATGAAAAAACAAAAGAAACAAATTATATATATATAAAAAAAAAACACCTTAAAGACATAGTTATGATGGATTTTCCAGTGAGAATAGGAGAAGAATCGCCATCAATAATTCTGTAGATATAAGGCTCCAAGTCTTTGTGGGTAACAAGTGGGACACAGGCCTTGAAACTCTCAGGGTCAGTTCTTCCATTAAGACCCAAATTCAGCAAATACTCTGATGACGCGTTATCCTCCAAAATCCTTTTCAGCGTTTCCCTCTGAACCCTTTCCGCATCCTTTGTCAGTGACTCGAATTCTTCAATCACCTTGTCCATGTTAAACTCTTCCACCTTCTCTAACATCCTCACAGCCCTTCTTCAACTGCAGCTATTCAGATAAAATAAATAAATAAAGAAGAGTAGTACTCATTTATATGGAGAATAGGACAAACAAAGGGTGATAGTGAGTTCTTATATTTGGCAATCTTAATAAAAGGTCTTCCAAATTTTGATAGAAAGATGGGAGAATATTCAATGACTCAATTCAGGCACAGAGGTACCGCAGAAAAAGACAAACAATATTATTTATAATTTCATTTTGCTTTTTTTTTTTTTGAATCGGAAGACAAAGAAAATAGTCAATATTTTTGTTATTTTTTAAATCTGTCCTCATTCTTTTTCTTGCTAGCGGTCCCAGACGTCATAAAAAAATGCAAAGTAACATTTTGATCTGTGTTAGAATCAGGACAAATGCGCAATCTACGTGTACATTGAACCTTTTTTTTTTAGTACAAGTACATTGAACCTTTAGAAACACAAGACATAGGGAAATTTTCAAAATTGCACTGCGAAGTCGTTATAGAAATTAGAAAGTGAAGGAAAATGACCAAATTAGCAAGTGATGAATCAAAGGGGAAAAAAAAGGAGAGAAATTACAATAAAAGCTTCAAGCCTTGATATTTTCTTTTTTCTTTTTCTTCCCTTACTATGGCCCCTTAAATGGAAGTCAACTCAACTTCAATAGAACAGAATCTCGTAGTCTCCGACTTGAAAATTCTTTCAAAACCCAAATCAAATTCATACACGAAAAAAAGACTCATCGAAGAAAATTTGAGGACAAAGGTTTGAAAAAAAAAAACAGAGGATTCAAGACGAAGTTTAATTTAAGTTACTAGCGAAATTGTAAAAACACCGAATGCGAAAAAGCAAAAGTCGAAGGAACCAAAAAGTAGTCACGAGGGAAAAAAAGAACGAGACCGGAAAAGTAGTCCCAATAAATGAGAGTTTTTAAAATAGCTTTTTGTCAAAATAACCAACCGAATTGGTTTAGAGAGAGAAAACTGGAACAAGATGACAACTGGGAACCCAGAAATAAAGCTGAAAAATCATCAATTGTTTGGAAAATAATATTTAAAGGAAATTAAAAAAAAAAAAAAAAAAAGTTCAACAAAAGCATACTCTGTTTAATTCCCATGGAAGAAAAATCATTAGAATTCGTCTGGGTTGGCTTGGACTACAACAACCATGACTCACGAACAAACCCAGAAGCAAACAAATTAAAAAAAAAAAAAAAATGTTTTTTTTTTGTTGGTGAAACCGAAATTGAATACCTGGATGAATCTTACTGTTTTCGAGGAGTCAAATAGAATAGAGAGAGTGAAGAAAGTAAGGATGAAAGCTCCGAAGATGAGGGGATTCGATCTGAAGGAAGGTTCTGTTCTGTTGGATTAGCCGATTTTAATGCAAGTTGGACCAGTGGAGAGATAACTAACTAGGTTTGTGTTGTGTAATAAAGATAAGAATGAAAATGTTTCCGTGACTTGTCACTTTGTTGCAGTACGGTGAAGTGAAGAGTGAAGAAAGAAAGATGGGTTGAAGATTCTCCTCGGGATGCAATATATATATATAGGCGTTAAGTCCAAAAATATTTGTGTATTGTTGGATTAACAGTTTTGCCATTGAATGTGTTACAGTGATAATTGAAGTGGTCGGAATGCCGATAATAGCCCTTCTGTTTTGTGATAATTACGAGGATAAAAGGAGTTGTTAGGTTTCTTCGTCGGCACTGAGCATCACCGCCACAAGTATCCGTTGACCGTTTTATTTGTGTTCGTAGTCTTTGTCCGTGATGGGTTTCCTTTTCTTTCAATCATTCATTAATGCCTTCTCCGTCCATCACAACATGTCATTACAATTTTACAATTTCTCCTTTTATATTTTCTTGGAGATCTCAATGTTTCGTTTTCGTGGCTTACTTTTTTTTGAGAATTTTACTTACAGATTTTTTTCTTAGTTTTAACGCTAGATTGCTTAATTGTACCCACTACACTACCCACTTATATGATTGATGATAGGGAAATAATTATCTCATGTTGCATGAGATAATTATCTCATGCAACAGAGACAAGATAATAGGGTCCACTATTTTTATTTTTATTTTCTTTTTTCGAAAAAGTAGTGGACCCCACTATCTTGTCTCTGTTGCAACATGAGATTAATAGATCCCTTGATGATATCTCTAGGGTGAGCATTTGCTTCTTTTACCTAGTTGTATATAATTTGTTTTTTATTTAGCGCCGACTTAATTCAGTTCAGTAAAAGCGCGATACACCGCAAAACAATTAAAATACAAATACCTCGCCACTTTGTGGCCATGTTAGAAAATCCTTCGATGACTCACCTCTTGTACCGGTAGCTTAATCTAAGGAACTATGGTTTTTTTACTAAAAAAAAAAAAAAAAAAGTTCTATGGTTCGGAGTCTATTGAGTTACTTCATTTGTATATGCAAATCAAATATGATAAATTGATAATAATGTAGTCCGGTTATTATATAGGTTCCTGATTATGATATTAATTAGTATCTTTTTAGGGTTTTATTATTATCATGTTACATAACTCAAGAAAATTTTCCTACACATACAATTAAGAGGTGGCGTCCACATGTTTTTTTTTCTCTTTCATCATTCCACCTTCTCTCTTTTCTTTATTGTGAGGGTAGGAAAATGTTCTTATATCATGTAACATTATAGTAATAAAACTCATCTTTTTATATTAGTAACACTTTTTATTTCATAAATTATGACTTTAAATATTGAGAAAAATATGTATTATTTAAAGGATAATTCTTTTAAGAGAGAGATAAAATAGATTATGGAAGAGAGAAAAAAAATCACTTTCTTTTCAGTAATTTATCTCTTTTTTATTTTTTATAATAATACAACTTTATATTCTTTAAAAAAATTTATATTTTTCTCTTAGATACTTTGTGCTCGGCTAGAGAATGAAACTAAAAATCAGATTACAGCAATAGAGTTATTTTTTTCTAATTTTAGCAAGTGATAGATTGGGTTTTTAATACTAAAAATGTTTTCCTTTTTAAGGGTATCAATATACAGTATAAATTACTAATCATTTATTACTCTGACAATTATGTTTAATAAATTTTTGGTCGGGGAATCACCTAGGTTGCTCTGACTCTGTCTTTGTTTATTTTTTTTCTCTTTCTTTGGCATTTCTGTCTTTTTAAGGGACACACTGACGGATTGGTGATTACTGGAGTACTAGTCAATTGCCGAGTAAATAGAATTTTTATTGACCACGGAAGTTCAGCTGACATAATTCTTTGGGACGCTTTCCAAAGGATGAACTTGGACGAGAAGGACTTGAAACCGTGCGTCACCGAGCTGGTCGGGTTCAACGGAGCGGCGTCCCCTCCAAAAGGCTACATCGACCTAAAGTTGACCTTGGGCACGAAGGATTCGTTCCGATCTGGAAGGGTTCGTTTTGTTGTGGTGGACACCTCGTCTTCCTACAACGTAATTATTGGTCGGCCCACAATCCATGAATAGGATATGCTGATCTCCACCAAACCTCAAGCATTGAAAATGTCCGGGACGAACAACGAGATCGTCACCATAAGAGGTGATCAAGAAGAATCAAGAAAGTGCTACTACGAGACTCTACGAGTCCATCATGGAGGTCCATCATCTCCAACTCGGCTTAAAGAAGGAGGAACCAAGGACCAATCACCGAAGACATGCGGAAGAGAGGTCAACTTGATTGAACTCGACGTAAGAGAGGAGCTCTTGGCACCTCGTCCAGAACCCCAAGGAGAGTTAGAGGATGCCGATATTGCGGAAGACGGCAAAGGACGCACCAAGGTGGGAAAATACCTAAGGACCGAATTCAAAGAGGAGCTGGTTTCTTTGTTAAAGGAAAACCGCGACGTATTTGCTTGGAAAGCTTCAGAAATCCCTGGAATTGACCCAACCTTCTGCTGCCACAAGCTCTCCATGTACCCCGGTTCACGACCAGTATCCCAAAAGAAGAGGAAGATAGGGTCAGACCGACGTCATGCATTGAATGAGCACGTCGACGAGCTGCTAGCAGCCAGATTCGCGAGGGAAATAAAGTATACCACTTGGCTGTCTAACGTAGTGATGGTAAAAAAGCCAAGCGGGAAATGGAGGATATGCGTGGACTATACCGACCTTAATAAGGTCTGCCCAAAAGACTCATACCCTATGCCGAGCATTGACCAGCTCGTTGACAATTCGTCAGGATTTCAGCTACTATCGTTTATGGATGCGTACTCGGGGTACAACCAAATTCCGCTACACCCCGACGACCACGAAAAAACCGCCTTCATCACTGAGAAGGGAAATTTTTGTTACAAAGTCATGCCTTTTGGCCTCAAAAATGCAGGGGCGACATATCAGCGGATGATGAACCGCGTTTTTCAAGGACAGATTGGAAGAAACCTAGAGGTATACATCGACGACATGATTGTCAAGTCGTTGCAAATGTCAGCACATATAAACAACCTCAGGGAAACTTTTGAGCAGCTGAGAGCTCACATGATCAGGCTGAATCCGGCGAAATGCGCTTTTGGGGTACCAGCTGGAAAGTTCCTGGGCTTCATGCTTACCAACCGAGGAATAGAAGTGAACCCCGACAAGTGTCGGGTCGTGCTCGAAATGAAGCAGCCCGAAAGAAAAAAAAGAAATTCAACAACTCACTGGACGTCTTGCGACCCTAACCAGATTCTTGCCTAAATCGGCGGAAAAGGCTTTGCCTTTCTTCAAGCTTCTCAAAAAGGAAGCCGAGTTCGGATGGGAGAAGAATGCAAGAACGCATTCGAAAATATTAAGAGTTGCCTGGCCACTCCTCCTGTACTGTCCAAACCAGAGCCTGGAGAAATGCTGATCTTGTACTTATCAGTTGGGGAAGAGGCCGTCAGTGCCGCCCTGGTACGGGAGAATGACAAATCACAGCAGCCGATCTACTTTGTAGGTCGGACCTTGTAAGGGCCTGAGCTTCGTCATCAGAAGCTCGAGAAAGTCGCATTCGCACTGCTTACCACGGCGAGGAGGCTCCGACCTTACTTCCAGAGTCACCGAGTTATTGTGCGAACGAATCAGCCCATCAGGCAAGTCCTCCACAAACCGGACCTCGCTGGCAGAATGATAAACTGGGCAGTCGAACTCTCTGAGTTCGACATTGCATATGAGCCCAGGCAGGCGATAAAGTCCCAAGCGCTGGCCGACTTCATCTTGGAGCTAACCCCATCCAATGAAAAGGGAAAAGGGAACAAAGATTTCTGGACAATACACGTAGATGGATCGTCCAACTCCAAGGGGAGCGGAGCCAGGGTGATCATTGAGATCCCGGAAGGAGTGTCCATTGAGCATTCACTTCACCTGGCCTTCCCGACTTCTAATAACCAAGCTGAGTACGAGGCATTTATTGCCGGAATCGTACAAGCAAAAAAGCAAGGGGCCAGAAAAATAAAAATTATGAGTGATTCGCAGCTGGTCACCTCACAAGTTGAGGGAAAATATCAAGTCAAAGGTCCTCTCATGATGAAATACCTCCACCAGGTCAAGGAACTGCTAGCCGAGTTTGACGAGGTGATAATCCAATACATACCTCGGAACGAGAATAATAGGGCCGACATCTTATCCAAACTTGTCAGCTCAAAGGGCCCAGGAAATCATCGTACCGTGATACAACAGAGCATATTGGAGCCGACATGTGTGATGGTGATTACCAAGACTGAGGATTGGAGAAGGCCCATAGTGGCTTACCTGGAAAAAGGAACCCTGCCAGACGAAACGCAAGAGGCCAGAAAACTCGTGAGGAATTCGGCATGTTTCACCATAATAGAGGGGCAACTCTACAAAAAGGGTTTCTACACACCCATGCTGAAGTGCCTAGGCAAGAGCGAGGTCGAATATGTGCAGGCCGAGATTCATGAGGGCATAAACGGGCATCACATGGGAGGAAAAGCCCTGGCCAGAAAGGCACTAAGGGCAGGATACTATTGGCCAACTATGGAGGCAGACGCGAGGGAGCACGTCAAAAAGTGCGAACAATGTCAGAAGCATGCGCTGATCCTCCATGCACCCCCAGAGGAGCTGCAAACTATCACGGCTCCGTGGCCATTCTTCAAATGGGGGATGGACCTACTGGGACCTTTCACTGCGGCTGAAGGTCAACTCAAGTGGCTGATAGTAGCTGTCGACTACTTCACCAAGTGGATCGAGGCCGAACCCCTCACCACCATTACCTCGGCAAGGATACGAAGATTCTTTCAAAGAAACCTAATCAGCCGATTTGGGCTTCCCGCCGAGATTACAAAAGACAACGAAACACAGTTTGCTGACAAAAGGTTCCGAGAGTTGATGACTGATCTCAAAATCACACACCGGTTTGCGTCAGTTGAGCACCCTCAGACTAACGGACAAGCCGAGTCTGCCAACAAGGTGATCATCAACGGGTTGAAGAAGAGGCTTTTTCAAGCCAAAGGCAATTGGGTTCAGCAACTACACCTCGTCCTCTGGGGTTA